ACCCGGGGCGCCCCCGGCCCCGCACTCCTGCCGCACCATGGCCGCGCTCTGGACGCTCGTCCTCACTGCCTCCTGCATGCTGACCGCAGTGAGTACACTGTAATTTTGGGGTGTCTCAAATGTATACGCCAAAAGGCGTTTGCTACAGGATCCCGAGCGACATTTGGCGTATACTTTTGAGACGCCTTTTGGCGTATAGATTCTAGCCATCTTTTCCCATACCATTCCCACATCACAGCCCAGGCTGCCCGTGCATGCAGATGCAAGGGTGTACAGGATGTGAGCGCCTTTCAGGGTGTATGTATCAAAGGGCCTCTGCTGTGCTGTGGGAACGGTATGGGCAAAGGTGTCTAGAATCTATACGCCAAAAGGCGTCTCAAAAGTATACGCCAAATGTTGCTCGGGATCCTGTCCCGTACGCCTTTTGGCGTATACATTTGAGACACCCCGAATTACAGTGTAGTGGCCCGGCGCCCCCTTACTGTCGCCGGCAATACCGGCCCCGAGGTTTGACGGTTTGATGCATGCAGATACCGGACCTCGCCTGGGCGGGGCACTCGAGCGGTAGCAGCAGCAGCAGCAGCTCGGAGGCCTCCGTGTCGTCGTCCGAGGAGAGCTTGTCGGCGAGGCTCGAGTCCAGGATCCACCGCTGTGTGCGCGGTGCCTCTCCGGGGCTCGTCCTCCCCGTGGGCAACTTTGAACAGCTCACCAAGGTGCTCCCCGTCGCTCGCTATTGGTATGGTGCATGGTGCTAAAACCGGCCTGTGTTACAAACTCGCCCTTCTCGCACAGGTGGAGGCGTGCGCCGATGACGGCATGTCCGCGTTGTTCGGCGGCACCCCGGCCCCCGCCGTCAAGGACCAGATAAACGGCTGCGTCGACGGCAAGGCTTTCCCGGACGCCGTTATGCCCGCCGTCAATTTGTTCAAGGACTGCGTGACGCGGGCGCTCACATGAACACGGCCTGAACTTTCTGCGAAGCTGTTCAGTCAAACTTGTGTTTTGAAAATGCTAATAAAATTGTTACGACACCACACAAAATTACTTGTAATCTATGTGTGCTCTTATTTTGAACTTATTTTGACACTACCGATACTAGGGGAGCATAGAAAATCTGTTGAACCTCACGCAAACACAAACACAAAGTTCAAGTTGGTGTTAATGCTCGCACTTTCGAGATCGTCAGTCCATTGGCATTGAACCCCAAAATACGGGCCGCCCTACTCGATATAGGGTTACTCGGGCCCCAGTAGAGCTTCTGATACAGTACGAGAAAATTCAAACCCCAAAACGAATACTTTGACGACGAGTATTAGAACCCCCGATTCACAGTTCAAACATTGCAGCGATATCAAAGAGCCAGGAGGAGGCCGGTCTCGAAACGTGAGGTGAGAGGGTGTCGTGATGGAACCGGTTCTTCTCCCGCTCAAGCTACTGCG